GAGAGAGATAACTGGTTTGTGTGTGTGTGTATAAGGAACAAACATCAAGTAATTCCTCTTCCGTCACTCACTGCGGTAATCTGACAGCCTTTGAACAAGTGTGTAGGGTGGCGGACCAGGAAGGCCTCTTAGCTGTGAGTAAATGATCTGAAGCCACGAGATGAAGTCATTATATACCGCATCAACAGGTTGGAGGGTGGTGGTAGTGGTCTCTAATCTCCCGTTGATCTCATGTCATATATGGTTAAGTGATGAACGAAAGACGTCACAGCAGCTCCTATATATGGTGAATCAGGTCGAGTATTGTGGCAACTTGTGGCCGGGCTGAGTTACCCCTCAAGATAGTGGGGGGGAAGTTAATACCATTCTTAATTCCTTTATTTTAATATCTCACAACTTTAATATATTGTTTTATGTCCGTTGTAGATGTTAAGATGAATCCATTAACGTACCTTAACTTGACTTTAGTGCAGTGAGAGTTAGTGTGAGTTAACGAGGTTCTCTTCAGCTGACGTCACGACGCCCTGGGTATGAGTGGTGACAAGGTCGTTTTTGTGACTTATCTCCGCTAAATATATGACCTTACAGTAAACCCTCCAATTAACGGATATCAATCTAACGGGTATAGTTCGTTATATGGAGGTTTCACATCTAATTGACCTTGATATAAGGGAATTTCCTCTCCTTTGTACTCCGGTAAATAGAGGTTACACTATAAAGCCAAGAAATCAGAGTCATTTCTCTTATTTTTTTTTCCAATGTGAGATTATATATATTTTTTTCTATTATATTATTTTTCTCATCTTTATTCTTCTTTCTTTCTTTTGTTTTCCTGTCGGTGTGGCGGCCTGTGACTCATACTTCCCTCACTTCATCGTCTGGGTCACTGCTGCCTAATAAGCATCTTTACTAAGGCGTCATCTAATGATTCACTGCCACATGAAGTGTACGAGACAGTGAGGAGTGTTGAACGGTGAAGCAATATGACAATGGTTCTAAATCTTTGGTAACTTGAAACTAAATGTCTGAGGTATTGAGTTAATTTGTCTTATGTTGTGTTATCTATTTTGTTAAGAGTTTGAACTAAGATTTGTGGGAATATTATTGATTTTAGACAAGTTTATAATCTGAGTGGCATAAACTATTGACCAAAGAAATCTCACATCAAAGTAAATTCATCGACGTAGGGTGGTGGTGTAAGGCCCTCATGAGACACCGTAAGAAGAGGAGCCAAAGAATTGAAGCATGAGAGAGCCTTGATGATGACACCCCCCAGATCTACTGACCACAAGCTACTGTTATCTAAAGACCCAACTCCCAGGGCCACCGCTTTTAGGATGATAAGCTGGGACGGGACAGCTTTGAACAGCACTCGGAAGACTCCTACAAGACGGACACAGTGAACCTCAAGGACTAGTGACGTAAATATATTGATGTCATGGAAGATTATATTGAGAAAAAATCTACGAGATGTTATAATGTTATTGTACCTTTTTATTACATACCATATCCCCCCCCCCCCTCACAAGTACGGTACTCGTATCACCTACTACAGTGTATCTAACCATCACTGTTATCATGTTGGGACTCATTACCCCTCAGAGTACAGCTTGTGGGATAGACGAGTATCATTATGGCTGAGTACTAATGTGGGTGTAGAGGTCAATAACGTGTGCGACATAAGGAAGGGGAGAGAAGAGAGGAGAGACGGCAACTAGATAACGTCAGAGGTTGTTTACTGGGGATTCCCCTTACCTGCCTCTCCCTCCTTCCCTCCCTCCTTCCTTCCCTCCCTCCCTCCCTTCCTCCCTCCCTCCCTCCCTCCCATACCTTCCAACCACGCCCTCCTCGCTCTTACCTTCACACCCACACCACCCTCACCTCTCTTACGCCCACACCACCCTCACCCCTCTTACACCCACCCAACCCCTCCACCGTCATTTCTCACACTCCCCTATCCTCTCCACCCTCACCACCGTCATCTCCTGCCTCTACCCTCACAGTCATCGTTACGTACACACCTGGTCTGCCCCGCCCCGCCCCCCGCCCGCACACCTGAGCCACTCAGTTACCCCCTCACCGTTCACCGGGTACACAACCACCATCACCCTCCAGTAATTTCCTCACGTCGATTTCCAACACAACTGAACCCTCATATCTGAAGCCTTGTGTCGCATCTGAAGCCTTGTGTCACATCTGAAGCCTTGTGTCGCATCTGAAGCCTTGTGTCGCATCTGAAGCCTTGTGTCACATCTGAAGCCTTGTGTCGCATCTGAAGCCTTGTGTCACATCTGAAGCCTTGTGTCACATCTGAAGCCTTGCGTCACATCTGAAGCCTTGCGTCACACCCATCGTCCGTGGCACTTAAACACGCACATGTAAGTTCACAAAAAATTATAAAATTATTAATGTTATTATTTATTTTCTTAACATATCCTAATAATATATGAGATTAATTTCTTATTATTATTTTATTACGTATCATTTCCTACAAGTAATATTATTAGCATTTGTTCATTATTTTTCATTATCATTTATTAATACATCGTTTATAAGTGTATTAACAGAACGCTAACAAGAACTTACGTATTATTATTATATTTTGATATACGTGAAATATTCAGGGGAAATATACGAGAAACATTTTATTTATACTTAACGAGCGGTGAAGGTTATAAGAAGTGTATAGCATAAACACCTGACATGGTTATATACCTATCAATTCTGCTCAATTTTGAACTATATGTGTTGAAGCAGGTGTCCCAAGCCTTAATGGGTGGTGGAGGGGTGTTAGGGGTGGAGTGGGGGGTGTTAGAGGAGTGTGGGCAGTGGGGGTAGGGGTGGTGGAGGGTGTTGGGTGAGGGGTGTTGGGGTGGTGGAGGTGTAGGAGTGGTGGGGGTGGAGGGTGTAGGGGTGGTGGGGGGTGGGGGTGTTGGGGTGGTGGGGGGGTGTTGGGGGTGGTGGGAGTGGTGTTGGGTGGGGTGTTAGGGGTGTGGTGGGGGTAAGGGGTGGTGGAGGTGTTGGGGGTGGTGGGGGTGTTATGGGTGGTGGTGGGGGTGTTAGGGGTGGGAGGTGTTAGGGGTAGGGGGTGTGGGAGGTGGTGGAGGGTGGAGGGGTGGTGGGGGTGAGGAGGGTGGTGGAGGGTGTTGGAGAGGGTGTTGGGTGGTGGAGGTGTGGGTGGTGGAGGGTGTAGGGGTAGTGGAGGGTGTTGGGGGTGGTGGAGAGGTGTTAAGGGGTGGTGGAGGGGTGTTAGGGGTGGTGGAGGGTGTTAGGGGTGGAGGGTGTTAGGGGTGGTGGAGAGGTGTTAATGGGTGGTGGGGTTAGGGGTGGTGGAGAGGTGTTAAGGGTGGTGGAGGGGTGGAGGGGGTGGTGGGGTGGTGGAGGGTGTTAAGGGGGTGGTGGAGGGTGTTAAGGGGTGGTGGAGGTAGGGTGTTGTGGTGGGGTGGGGGGTGGAGGGTGTTGGGGGTGGTGGAGGGGTTAGGGGTGGTGGAGGGTGTTAGGGGTGGTGGAGTGGGTGGTGGGGGTGTTAAGGGTGGTGGAGGGTGTTAGGGGGGTGGAGGTGTTGAGGGGTGGTGGAGGGGTGTTAAGGGGTGGTGGAGGGGTGTTAAGGGTGGTGGAGGGTGTTAAGGGGTGGAGGGGTGTTAGGGGTGGTGGAGGGGTGTTAATGGGTGGTGGGGGTGTTAGGGGTGGTGGAGGGTGTTAGGGGTGGAGGGGTGTTAGGTGGTGGGGTGTTAGGGGTGGTGGAGGGGTGTTAATGGGTGGTGGGGGGTGTTAAGTGTGGAGGGGTGTTAGTGGTGGAGGTTAGGGGTGGTGGAGGGGTGTTAATGGGGTGGAGGGGTGTTAATGGGTGGTGGAGGGGTGTTAGGGATGGTGGAAGGGAGCTGAAGTGGGTGGAGGGGTCAAGGCTCAGTTGGTGCGAAGTACGGGAAAGTAAGTGCCAGGTGGGGAAGGTAAGTGCCAGGTGGGGAAAGTAAGTGCCAGGTGGGGAAGGTAAGTGCCAGGTGGGGGAAAGTAAGGTGCCAGGTGGGGAAGGTGGTGCCAGGTGGGGAAGTGCTGGGTGGAAGGTAAGTGCCAGGTGGGGGAAGGTAAGTGCCAGGTAGGGGAAGGTAAGTGCCAGGTGGGGAAGGTAAGTGCCAGGTGGGGGAAGGTAAGTGCCAGGGAGGGGAAGGTAAGTGCCAGGTAGGGGAAGGTGGTACTAGATGCGGAAGATGGCACTTAGCCAGCCTGAAGCTGGGGGAGTAATCTGCCGTTCATTCCTTTACGTTATTCACTGCGTGTATAAAAGAAATGTATCTCATTTTATCACTATTAATTAAAATCTACCTTTATCTCCCACAGGTGACCACATCCCTAATGAAGAACACACAGGGTGGCTTCCAGTTCTGCTTACCTGAGGGAATTTCTCGTTATACTTCCTTACTTCCGGGTGTGTCTTAAGCACGAGAGGCACTACCTGACGAAGCTGTGAACTGGACTCAGAAAGGATGTAATATTAGGAGATCCTGAAGATGTGATAGTACTTGTAAATTAAAAACAATGCGTAGGAGTGTGGTGGCAGTTATGACCCGAGTGAGTTTCTTGATTAGTAGGTCATGAAATCAGTGAATCCAAGACCTGTACAGTGATTCAAAGCGTAAAATAAGATGATTAGTAATATGACATGAAAGCAGTGATTCGTGGCCTGAGTAAAGATGAACACTGATTCGTGAGGAAATGATATCTAATCAGTGAATCAAGATATGAATAAGATAATGAATAATTTCCAACTTAAATGAATAATAGTGAATTAAGACCTCTATGGTTGACTCGAGATTAAAGACCCTCCAACACTGTGCAGTGACTCAAAACGTAAAAAAAATTACTCATTGACTCGAAAAACTAAATGTGAATTAGTGACTCAGTGACTCAAGGCCTAAACACTATAAACTTTGATTCGCGATACCAAAAAAAAAAAAATGTCACCCCTTAAATCTATGACGTAGGACGAGTGACGAGTGACGTGCAGGTCGGACGGGATGAAGGGACGAGGCACAGTCTTCATACACGTCCCCCGGGGTCACACCTCCACTATCCTCGTCACTGGCGGCGGCGACACCCCTCTCATCGTCACCCAGGTAAGTTAATTTTCACCTGTCTGTCATCAGCAATTCACCTGCATCGTCGGGAGATAAAGATGGCGGGTGTCAGAGAGAGAGGGAGTCATTCTAATAGTTTTCTACTTTAGTAATTTTACTCTCTCTCTCTCTCTCTCTCTCTCTCTCTCTCTCTCTCTCTCTCTCACCCTTGTCTTTAAGATCGCTGTCTAACTTAGTAAAATCATTAGGCATAAAACAATTACAATTTAAACAGATGGTTGTTTATGTGATAATGACAGTGTTGAAACCCGTACTCAAGTTACGTTAATGATTACACTGACATCACGTATGCTGTACCTCAGGGTCATTACAGTGTACTTAACATCGTGGTCACAAGCTGAAGAAAATCAAACGCATTATACTTTCACTTTTTGTCACCGCCTACCACTACACCAGATAGACCCATTGTACTCTGAAGCGCTGTACAATTATATCAGTGCAATATTTTACCAGATAAACGACATAAGTTATTGTATATAATTATCATATATTCACACTAGTTCAATATCAACATGAGGAGTGTGGCGTGATGATGGGTCGACGCTCTGTTATGTTATGCCAGTTTGTGAGACTTTAATATAACGACCGCTAATGAGTCAAAAAAACAGTCATTTTAATCATGCGACTCTGGTTCGGGTTTTATGGGTCAGGCTTTTATGGGTCCGGCCCTCATATGTCCGGCTCTCATGGGTTCGGTTCTCATGGGTTCGGTTCTCATGGGTTCGGTTCTCATGGGTTCGGCCCTCATATGTCCGGCTCTCGGTTCTCATGGGTTCGGTTCTCATGGGTTCGGCCCTCATATGTCCGGCTCTCATGGGTCCGGCTCTCATGGGTTCGGTTCTCATTATAGTTTGGTTTAGAGAGCCGCTTATGTACAGTATAATCCAATCTGTTTATAATCTTACTGTTCGTTACGGCAGACGTGTACATGTAAGCAGTAATATGTACAACAGTTGAAGTGTACATGTAAGCAGCAGAGTGTACATCAGCTGTAGTGTACGTGTGTGTGAGCGCGTGGTACAACATGGACAACAACGATGACTATTTTAGTCTAGTGGCCACCGAGCCTCTGAGTCTTACAGTGACACAGTGGCGAGTATCCCGGCACCAAGCCAGTCACTGTCACTAAGCCAGTCACTGTCACCAAGCCAGTCACTGTCACCAAGCCAGTCACTGTCACCAAGCCAGCCACTGTCACCACTGTCACCAAGCCAGTCATTATATCACTGTCACCACACCACTCACTACAGTTCTAAGTCTTTACAGCTGGTCACTCCTCCTGCAGGCTGGGCGGACGAGCGGGCTACAGGAGGGCGATGAGGTGGTAGGCGTCGACGGAGCTTCCACCACCCTATGGAGCAGCAAACTCCTCCACCAGACACTCCGTCAGGCCTCCGATGTCATCCTCGAGGTGATCAGGTAACTCTCTCTCTCTCTCTCTCTCAGTTACATTAAATTTAAGAAAAAACTCTCACACATTACCAAGGCCTAAACAATATTCTGTAATGTATTTCCAGTAAGAAGTATCATTATTTTATAGGTTAGGTTAGGTTAGTCTACTGCGTATTCATTTTTTCTTTTGGGGGGGGGGGGTGCTAAGGGCTCTTGAATCATTGCTTTTGTTTTGTTGTTTTGTTGTTGTTTCTGTTGTTTATTGTGTTAAAGTTTCAGCTGTTGTTTCCTTAAGTTGTTGATGTTGTAATAGATCTTGTTCTGTGTATGGCTGTACGTTAGCACTTGAAGCCTTCGGTAAGTACGTGATAACAGTTCATACACTTAAGACGCCAAGTACTAAAAAATTAAAGAGAGAGAACTTCTTTTACTATAGGATCTGGCCCTTGAAGTTCGCCAATACAGTGATCAAAAAGTCCCTGTGCATCTGCAATTAATAACAGCAAAGGTGTTTTTGTTATACCTGCATGGTTATATACCTTTTGTCCTACTTACAGTAAATATAGGTAAATGGTATCCACCCCAAATGTTTACTATGACCATTTCTGATAGTTAGAACAAGGTAAACCAGGTAGATATAAAAATAAATAACTATTGTGTTGATTACTACAGGTGCACAGTGACTTCTTGATCACCCTGTACAGGTCCACATGAGCCACTCACCGCGGGGATAAATAAGGTGGAGGAGAAGGAGGAGGATGGGGCGGAGGCTGAGGTGGGTGGGTGGGTGGGTAAGGGGGGGGGGCAACCATAATAAACACAGGAGAGAGCACCTGCTGATTCCTACACCCGGAGTCTGTTTGTTGCTCCTCGTACAGTTGATCAAACGCCTCACCTACAGCAGCACCACCAGCAGCAGCAACACGTAGAAGGTAAGGTTATCCTGAAGGGAGAGTCTGGCTGTGTAGTGAGTAGTGACGATATGTATTTACTTTATAGTGAGGATAAGTTGGAAGGTAAGAAGCCTCATTAAACTGTATAAAAACTAAGGGCGTAAACTCAAAGGTAAAACAAATGAACAACGGATAGGACCCCCCAACAGGTGTTCAGGACAGGTGAATAGAAGATAAACATTTAGGTGAAAACTAACGGCAGCCGGATGAAGGGAACGATCCTGGTTGTAAATATTTAGATAAGAGTGAAACATTGATAATAAGAGATGAACAATAACGTTGGGAGGAGAGAGAGAAGAGACTGACAGGTAAAGTTGATGTTGGTCTGTAATTAGGTCGGGCAGGTATATATGGGAGGGCGTGGTTGGGTGGGTGTACTAAATATTTTCATAACCAATTAATTCCTTTAGTTATTTATTATTATCTTATTCTACATTATTCTCATTACTCTTACTAATATTAATATTCGTAAAAAAATTAAAAGGGCAAAAATTGGATAAAAAATAGAATAAAAGGGAAGCATAAATAGGCACAATAGAATAAAGTTGTTAGAAGGGAAGAAAAATTGGGATGAAAAAACCACAACAATCAAAACAATAAAGTCTGATAAAAATGAATGAAATCCAAACGTTACGAAAGTTATATAAAAGAAATATAATAAATACAAGAATTAAGAGGAAGTAGAGAGGTAAACACAATACTAGATTGATATTGATAATTAATTAGTAAACGTGAAGGAGAATTGGTAGTTAACGTCTAGAAATCTTTAGTTAGTCATGGTTTGTTTATAATTTGGACAAGGATGAAATGCGTGATTGCCGTGTTGACGTTGACGCCAGACCTAACCTAACCTAACCTAACCTACCGAGAACAGATCCTATTAATATATAATTGTTCTTGGTGAAGCGACTAATACACCACCCTGTACATCAGCTGTTATGACACGTGTAGTTAACATCTAAGGAAACATTAAGTTATCTCTGTAGTGAAGAAGGAACTGTGAGTCTTCATGTTGAGGGTATACTAATAGTTATGACCTTTGCAATGTGAAATCCAAATGTTGTTTCCTTTTTCCCTCCAATAGTAACAGTAAATTATAAAAGGTTTATTTACTTAACACGTGACTAGGAAAGTCCATCGGGAAACTGGGGCTGTAAATGTGACGTGACTTCTCTCAGGAATAAATTCAGTATATAATGAACGATACTTAATGGTGAAGTATCATTATATACAAATAAATAAAGCTGTTTCTTCGTAAATATTTGAACCAGAAATGTAACCCTGAATATATTTAAACTCCTTTCTTGTTAAAACGCAGAAGATGCATTCGAAACTCAACATTATTTCTTATTTACGAAGACAAAACCCAATAAAAGACGATAAACAACTCTACCTTAAACAAACACTCGTAAAACAATACACAAAAATTAACTATAAAATATCAAAATAAACTTGTCAACATTCCTGAAAAATAAATCTTGTTTTAGGAGCGGTAATCCCGGGTGGAGGAGAGGCTGTCAGCGCACCGTGAGGCAGCCTGTAGTACCTGGTAATTGGAAAGCCTTCATTTCCTCACGAGATGGCCAGAGGGTCAGTCCCGGACAATCCTGTTATATTTATGTGACTGAGGGAAGACTAGGCTTTATTATTGACGGGTTGTGTACATAAGAAATGATGATGACGCAGAATTTATATCCGGGTTAGATCATGGTTTATACATGGTGTGTTTGTATAAGGGGGAGGCAGAGGGAGAAGGATGTACGTGGTTGATAAAGTACTGTTGATTTGCTTCCATAGTTTGGATTTAATTTCATATCGTCATATAAATACAGTATGAAATATTTCCCACAATAACTCCTAGGTTTAAATAACATTACTACAAGTATAGATTAATATTAAAGGCTACAATACACTTTTAGTACTTGAGGAGTAATTTGATCTTCAAGGGCACAGATCAGGGTAAACAGATTGACTTTCGGTGGAGAGGCGCACGTGCATTTACCGTCTCGGATGAAGAACCATTTATGTGCAGTTTTCTTTTACGCCTTATGTCTTAAACTTCCTTCATATATTCTCTAAATCATAAGAAACGTATCCAAGTTGAAACGTCTGCGGTAAATCACGTGTTGGGTTTTTGTTAATAAAAGTTGAGAGAGAGAATTCAGACAACGCTCTAGAGTTCTCGAGAAGACTACCTGTGGTATAGCGAGGGTGGTGGGTACAGTGGACTCAGCATCACGCGGGATGTGACCAACATTGAACTGGGGAGAGCACAATGACGTTGTTTTCTTTATTTAGTAGTATTAGTAGTAGGTGTGGCTATTGGGGGAGGCTAGAGGCGACGTTTAAAAAAGTAGTAGTAGTAGTAGTAGTAGTAATATTGTTATTTTTTTCTTCTTATTATTTTTATTGTTAGTGTTTCTTTTCTTCTTCGTATTCTTTTTCTTCTTGAATATAAAACCATCTGATATACCACCACTTATCGTAGTCACTCTGGTCCCCTTAGAGGTCATAAATATAAGGTCAGTGACTCCTCAGATGTTCTCCTCCGAAACCTTATCTACAACAGCTCTGCCAAGCTTTATCGAAATTGAACATCCAAGGGAGGATTTACCCTGCTGTGAAATTTGCTTCCACAGACAGACAGGCTGATAGACACGGCACACAGACAGACAGACAGACAGACAGACGTGCGGTTGACGCCAGAGTGCCATCTTCTCATTCACTTTCCTTGTTTTTCATTGAGACAAAAATAGAATATGGTAGAAGGAAGAATAAACAGAAGTGCCGTCTTAAAGGGGTCCCTCTGTGTGTGTGTGTGTGTGTGTGTGTGTACAGGAAATGTTTATTGCCTGTTAATAGTACAAGAATCTCCAACCCGGGGGAAATTTGGAACATTATTTAAGGATCAGACTGAAGGTACACAGTTAACATGACACTCGTGTGTTTTATCCCAATATTAACTTGTCACACACACACACACACACACACACACACACACACACACACACACACACACTCACACTGTGAACCCGTAAAGATAACAGGTTCCGGTACCTACATTAGCAAAGGTCAGATACAAGCTGTGAGGATTACTGTAGAATATATTGTGATGTCTGTACTACTTACTTCACCATAAACTACAGGTAATGTCATCATATATATGGTGGATGTTATTAACAATTACTGAGGGGACAACAGGTATGTGATGGCCGACCATTGTGCCCGAGCCAACGTGGTGTGGCAGCCGTGCCCCGTGGCCGGGTCGGGCAGGGCGGCCAGCTCAGTGGCAGTTTGGCAGTGGCTGTAACAGGGTTGGGTTTCGGCTGCTCCGCTACGGTGAGTGTCGGGCGAGGGAGTGACGCCCTGAATGCACGGTTAAATACGGGTTGTGTTCCTCTAGTGCTTCCCCCGTCAGGTATGAGCTACTAGACCTCGGCTCTTACTCATCTTTATTACTCAGGAGACGATAGCGAGTGCCGCTGATAGAGAACTAATTTGACGTGAGTACCTTGTAGTGCAGTGTAGTGTTATTCCCTAATGGGGTGTCGTGTGGTGGTCACTGTGCTTGTGTACAGGGAGGGAGGGAGGGAGGGACGACTCAGCATTAGTGTGAAGGCAACAATTGCAGGGCGCTGGGCCGGTGACAGTGTGTGTGGGGGGAGGGGAGGGGAGGGGAGGGAGCCAGCCAGGAATGTTAGCCACACTCAAAATAAGAGCGCGGGTCCTGCCTGCCTTGCGAGGCCCTGCTGCTGTCGCTGCTGCTGCCGCCCGACACTTCCGTAAACACCCACCATCGGTCTTCCTACTGCTACTGCTGCTCGTAGTCCGGGGTAGTCCTGCTGCTACTGCCTGGAGTTTCCCCCTCCACCAATCTCCGGCCTTCCCTTTTACTGCCAGTCGTACTATCGGAAGCACCTCCTCCTCCTCCTCCTCCTCCTCCTGAAGGTTCCCCAACACCAGACATTTCCGTCACCACCGACCATCGATCTCACTAACACCAGACGACCTTCATCAAGGTAGTCTTCCCAAAAGGCTTCTGGTTCCTGTTTGAGTCTTCAGCATAATAGACCA